CGGTGGACCACTGATGTGTGAACGCCCAGGGGAAAGCTGGGTTGTGTATGGGGTGACCTCCTGGGGCTACGGCTGTGGGGTCAAAGATTCCCCAGGTGTCTACACAAAAGTATCATCTTTCATACCCTGGATTAAAAGTTTGACCAAACTATGAATGCCCATAATGAAAACCAAACTTTGAGGCAGGACAACTTGAACAGCACATGCAGTGCATAGCTGGGGCCCACAGTCGGTGGAAACAGATATTTTCCTGATTCATGTGTTTTTGTTTTCATTAAATCCAAGCTGTATACACTCAAGCCTTCCAGTCAGGGATTAATCCTCCCTGTTCCAGAAATTCAAATATTGCATGAAAAAATTACCATGTATCTAAGGGGAAAAGTGATAGCCAGCTAGAGTAATACTGGAGCCAGACAGCTGGAGACTTTGTCCACAAGACTGTAGCTCCATGCTATTTATGCTCCAAGCTTCTCTACAATTACAGATCCCAATTAATCTTTAGTCTAGTTTATTTAATCTATTATTCCCATGATTTTACACTCAGCCCCCTAAATCTGACTCATGTTTCAGTAGCTTCTGAGACCATTAGTAGCCTAATGCTTGATAAGTAACTGTGAGTGTGATTAAACGCAGGAAGGAAAACAATGGTCAATAATCACATCCCCAGCTAACTGGCTAAATGTCCTCACAGGTTAGTGAGCCTGAAGTACATTCCCAAGTAAAACAGCCAGTACAGTGATAGTTTCCCCACAAACATCCTGCACAGCTGCAAGAGCAACCACTTATTTACTTCACTGAAGTAGCTTTAGTCCTATTTCTTAAATTCGCGACTTTGAGTATATACAACATTTTGGAGATTATTCACTTTTTCTATTTACCACTAGCTGTCAGTACAGTGTCAGACAACAAATATCCCTATCCTTGCATTGCTGGACTTTGCTCAAGCAGTGCAAAGAACTTCCGTACATCCTACCAGACAAAGTTATACATACAATGGAGTTGTTGAGCCAAAACTTGTCTGAAACGGTCTACAAAGTCTTAAACTATGTTTTCTATAAAGTAATATTTAGATAACTCTCTCCTGCTAGTTGCAACACTGGTTCAGACTGATCTCACAGGAAAGCTGTTTTCAATTATTTCTAAAGCACTGACCCATCTTGATTTCATCCATTTACATTTCCAAATACTGTTTCCCATGCTATGAAATCCCTAACTTTTTATAAAAATGCACTGATAACCAACTTGCTGTCCTCTGAGGAAGGGCCACCACACTGACCCAGAACACAGCATATAGTCACTACCTTAGTGTAACACTGAAAGGCATCAGTCCGGAAACCACCTGTGAACTGACTCACTGGGGAAGGAGCCACGACAGCTCAGCTCTACAATCCCCATGGGTCTATGTATCACAGTAACAACCATGCTCATAAAAACACAACTGAAAGCTGTGGGCCATGAAACAAGTGTGACAAGTGTGGCAGATGAGTGACACCACGTAGTGATTGTGCAAACTGTGACCACCAGTGACTGTTTCCCAGTTTCCTATCCCCCAAACTGGCTAGGATTGTGTCGTGTGGTGTTTCGTGAATAAGTGGGGTGCTTGCATTCATGCTGTAAATGGCAATCATTCGTTTTTGTATTGTTGTGTGTCTCTCTGGTGTTACAAATATCCAATACTACTCGCTTGCATATGAAGTGGCAATGACATTGCCGAAGCCCATGTGATTGAACATTTAGCCCTTAACAACTCCAACCTCAAATTTTAAGTTTTCAATGGTCAGGACTAATTATTAACTGGTGCTAAACTAGTACATGAGGTGCTTTAATATATTTCAGTTTCTGTAATTCCACACTATTTGAAATAGTGTAAAATATTTTAAACATCGTAAATCACTGCATTGTGACCACCTACTGTTAGATCAATGCAAAACACTGTGCTAGTCAACTTCAAAGCCATTACATTTTTACTTCTATATAGCCCTTAATTACAAGGGAAGTCAGTCTGTCAAAAAGTATCTGCATGTAACATCTGAGTTTTGCTGTACAAGACCTATTGAGACCTGTGGTGAAGTAGGCTACATAGTGCAATATATGCGTTATATACAGGTGAAATAATCATCCTTTAGTAGTTGCATCACAGAAACAAAATACTTTGAGGGAGAGGGAGAACTAAGCCTGCATACTAAGTGTAGTAAATGTTTAGATTTAGTACAGTACTTTTATTATTTTTGCCCTTTTAATAGAATGCTTTATTAGATTTTAAAATGTTGCACTACTGTTTCCATGCTGAGCATGCCTTTTCAGTTTCTAACATAAAATGAAATTGCCTCCATCTTATGTCATTGTTATTTTTGTTCAGTGAGCCTGATGGTCTACATGTATACAATAAAAACTGCCACAATGACTACAATTTCTGTACTTAATTAATACCACAGATGTTCAAGCAGCTGCTGCAGAACATCAGCTGGGCAAACCTCACATGGGCTGTACCTGAGGAAGGGGGTTCTTGAAATCATTAAAGCATATAAACTTAGGGCTATTTTCTCTGAGAGGAAGGTTTGTCTTATAGCCAGTGCTTTAACTCAAACCAGTTACATTGTCAGTTCATCCTACACTTATAAAGCTGTTTAGTAGCTGTTAATTGTGGCACAAACCACGAGAACACTTGGCACTTATTACCCGGTAAGATGACCATCAAGAAACATCATCTCTCCAGGTTCCCATACACTGTAACAATTTACAGTTACAGTCCTCCTAAACACCCCAAGTTTTTGTTTATTTGCCAGAGAATATACAATACAGAGACATCACAGCAACTGACACACAAAGCCTCCTTAATGTGTATCTTATCTCAACCCTAAGAAACTTCCCAAAATAAAAGGGCAAACCTGCCTGGCATTTGCCTATTTAAGATAAGCAAGTAACTGCCCTTACAGAATACACGTGGTTCCTACAGAGGTCCAATGGTTCTGGGGAAAAGGGAACTCGCAGTAAACACTCTGATTGTTGGCTAGCAGGCTTGGCAGCCACCACCTCGGAATGCAGAGCAGTAAGCCGTGATAGGGTTCTTTAAAGAAGAGAGTAATCACACACCACCAGTTAAACAGGTGTGCTATCACTTGTTACAGCACCACACAAAACACATCCAACTGTACTTCCGCTTGGGCAGAAAAAGTATACGCTTAAAAAAAAAATAAAAAGGAAAGCTTCCTTTGACAGCTCCCTAATCTTCCCACCAAACACAACCACAGAAGTAACTTCCTCAGATCTAGTCCATGCTGTAATGAGAGTCCACAGTTCTGCTCCATTCACTTCAAGCAGGAATCCAGACCTCAGCTGCCAAACTCAGCAGCAACTACAGCGCATGCTGATCATCTCAGCTCTGGCTTCACAAATTTTGTTTCCCAGTCCTTTCAAACCCTCCCTTTCCCTCTAACTTTTCAGTTTCCAACTATATGCAAAAATATATTATTATTTGAAAGATATTGTGTAACAGATTGTGCCAGCACAACTGGTGTTCACTAAAACAGTACATTTACTTTTAAGTATTTTGTCTGAGTATGCAATGATTCACCATCTAGCAGATCTCTATCTATTTTCTTAAGTATGGATCCCTCAGCAACTGCAAAAATCAACTCTATTTGAAGTTGTCATTTCTGCCCTGCAGCACTTACCTCTGATTCAAGCCACACCACTTCTGGAGTGGTTCCCAGACATGCATCAGCCACCTGAAACCACAGATTCTGCCCAAAAGGTGTGTCCCCAGAACAGGCAGATCAGTAAGCAATCCCAACAAACGTGTAGGTCTAGTCTTAGTTACCAGCAGTTTTTCAAGAAAGGGACCACACTTGCAGCCAGTCACGTATCTTTATTGACTTATTCATACATTCAAACGCTTTACATTCACACAGACACCAAAATTACAGCTGGAGTTTCCACTTCCATTTTCCAGACTTCAAAAACTCACCTGCAGCTTCTGCAGCACAGGTACACTCATTGCAACAACCTTTGCAGCTCTTTGAGAGCAGAGGAGCTATCCCTGAAGGTGCAACACAGCCACTCAACTACCAACATCAGTACTGTAATAGCTTAAAGCTTAGTGACAGCCCAAAGAGAGGAGCAGCACATGATGGGATCCTAACTCTATTTGCTGTATAGAAGCAGTCAAGGCTAATTTTAGGCACAGTACGCTGGGTTCCAGCCCCTCTTAATGAAGATCAGATGGACTGCAGAAGCTTTCATTGAAGCTCCAAATTTTAACTCTGTTTAAAAATCGAGGTAAAGACCTAGCTAAAAATTACCTTTTACTAGATCTGCTTCACATCTTACTGCTCTCAAAGCAGCTTCACATATTACTGCTCCCAAAAGGTATCAACTCCAGATGATGAAACACATCCACCCTACCCTAACCAAAAGTTAACAGGTTTAGACACAGCTACTCCTAGAATTCACATGTGGAATTTAGCCCCGTCTTCTTTCAAGAGGGTTTTTCCCCTGTAAAAACAAGTTTGAGGCAGTTTAATATTGCTACTGGACACAAACAAACAGTAATCATCATCAACAGTAGGATTCTCTCCCAGAAGCTGTAAAGCTGCTCTGAAACAAAGCTGTTGATATTAACTTCCAATCTCCCTTGTTCTTACAGCTGCAGATTTCTCTTAGTACTCAGACACTTATGAAAAAAGACACTCCTCTTGCTCAGGATATCCCTGAGAAATCTACGCACTTAGATGCTTCTAATTCGGCAAGCAAAGTACTGGCAGTGTTATTTTTTATGCTAGGAATAGTGGATTATGTTTTCTAATGTCTCTACATCCAAACCAAATTCCTCCTAGTCACATTAATGCACTTGATGACACTTTTCTGTCCCGAAAACACACAAAAATGAAGCATGCCTTAAAACAAAACACGCGACACCTTGATTTCAAAGGACAAGTCACAGCAGAATAATCACTAAACATAAATTATCAAATCGGTAATATTCCTGCCCCAAATCTCACCTCTGAAGAGCTTATTAGGCGCAACCAGACACATACTTTTTTGGGAAGAGGATCTTTAACTACAGTCTCCATGCTTTCGGCTTCTGTACTCCTGCGGAATTAAAAAAAGAATAAAAAAGTTTAAAAACTGGGCTGCAATAGTGTACTGGAGGGGGGAAAAGGGGAGAAACCTGAAAAACCAATCAACAAAAAAACACTCAAAAAAGGGGGAGACGGCTAACCCCACGGCAGAATCGGTTTGTTACTTGCCACAGTCAACGACTCATACCCACAAGAGGGTAAAAGTTTTGCCAATTAGCAAGGCCCTGCTCTTCCATGTCTAGGAAGGGAGTGAGCCACAGATGGCAGCTCCCATGGAGTCATGGATCTCCGCTTCCCCCACCGCCACGTGGCGGCCGCCATTTTCCCTTCCTCTCTCCCTCCCTCATGTGGGCCCCGGCCCCGCGCGGCCGGCTCCCACCCGTCCTCCCTGTAACGCAGCCCACGCCTTCATGGAACCCACCTTCTATCGGTCACGCTCAGCTCTTCTTGCCGCTGTGGAGGAGAAGGCGCCCGATCCGCGAGCAGCACCAGCACCACCACCGCCGCCGGCCCTTCACCTTCACCCTCCCCGTTCCGCTCCGCTCCCCGCGCGCCCCCCTCAGCGCCAACGGCCGCGCCGCGCGCCCCCCTCAGCGCCAACGGCCGCGCCGCGCGCCCCCCTCAGCGCCAACGGCCGCGCCGCGCGCCCCCCTCAGCGCCAACGGCCGCGCCGCGCGCCCGCCCGCGCGGAGCCCCATCCGCACGCGCCCCGGCCGCACGCGCCGGCGGCGGGCTCCGAGCACCGCCGCGCCCCGCGCTGGGGGCGGGGCCTCGGGGGCCGGGGGCGGGGCCACGGAGCGCATGCGCACTGAGCTCGTCAGAGGTTGTGAAAGATGTGCTACACAAATGAAGTCATCCCTCCAGGTGAACACAGATGATTTTCCTTTTCCAGTCCATGTAAGCAACTGCATGCTGGACAAATGTCCACACTTCAGTTTGGAGTTATAGCAGCACAGAGAAGAATAGTCCTGTTGGGAGACACCTACAAGGATTATCAGTCCAAATGCCCAGGGCCGATCAGAAGTTAAAGCCTGTTGTTAAAGGCATTTTCCAAATTCTTTCTAAACACTGACAGGCCTGGAACATCAATTACCTCTGCAGGGAGCCTGTTCCAGTGTCTGAACACCTTCTCATAAAGAAATGCTTCCTAATGTCAAGTCTAAATCTCCCCTAATTACTGTAACTTTAATGCCACAGCAGCTTAATGTACTATTATTAGTCATCCTCAGTCCAGGGAAGACTCAAGCTCCAAGTATTTTTTTCAGATGATCACGAATTCCTCCTCTGCTCAGGTTTCCCCGGCCTTTGGTTTCAGGTGTTGATCAATTTTCCGCTCCTGGGGTTTGCCCATTGCTGACTGTTGTGCTTTCTCCATCCCTGTCACCCGGAGAGACCAAAAAAAAAAAAAAAAAAAAAAACCCAAAAAAACCAACCAACCAAAAACCCTAAAAAACAACAGTGTCTTTTGCCTTTGAGCTCTAGGAATTGGTGGACTGGAGGAACTGAAAACAAACATTATATGAAAGTAGATAAATCAAAGACAGAGGCCAAGAAGCTATTATTATTTGTAGCAAGGATCTCTACCCTTTTCTTATTACCTGGTACTATTTTACTGTTTTTTAAGAGCTTATAGAGATGGATATTATACAAGAAGCTTCGACTTCTTAATTTTAAATTGCATCATTTCTCTGTAATGAATGCAATATTTTGTTAATGTAGGTTTCCTATCTCCCACACTCCTAAGCAGCTTTTACCCAGCTAGATAAGTACGATTTTGTATTCTGTTCTGAATTTGTTGATAACAGTGAATTTTCCTTTGGACATTCATACCATCTTTAGAGATTTCTCCAAAGAAAGCTTTTCTCATGTCTGTGTAGGCTGATGCATTGGCACAACTATTAAACCCTCAAGGCAAATGATTTGAATACATTTTCCTTGTTATCTTAAAAATAGGAAATTCTGGAGATATTTCTCCAGCGCATTAGCAAGCGCTGGCACAAGAAATAAAAAGTAAGCAGGAAGCAAAAGCAGTAAAACAAGCAGCTGCATAAAGCAGCAATATTCACTCACAACAAGAGTAAGCAGTATTTTTCATTTCTCAAAACATTTCATGCTGCTCCTGTGCTCCTGGACTGTGTTGTAGCTCAGCGTCAAGCTGCAATGGCTGCTAACCAACCTGGAAAAGGACAACTTCTGTGAACATCAAAGTCACTTCCACACAGCACTATATTTTATTATCAGAGTTTATTGTTGCACTTCAAATACCATGCCACTATCAGAATAATATCTATTTTTTATTAAAAAAAAACTCTGAGAAAAATGTTTCCAGCAATTTTCATTCAATGTGAATGACAAAGAGTATTACATCTATAAACATTGAAATATCTATTTAATTTCTTCCTGAGGAAGTTTCACATTTTTAAGCAATGAAAAAGGATATTCTGTACAAGATAGTCTGCAAATCATCCAAACTCATTCTTTCTGCACAAGTAGAACTGGGAAAATGTCACAGTATTCTCAGGAATGTTAGCTCAAATAATTAGGTAATTTCTCATCAGGCTCTGTGTCTACACCCCCAAATGGTCAATATCTGCTCAGAACCACAGATTGTTTTTTAATGGCATTGATGGCCACATAAAGCAATCATATTTATCCAAATGGAGATGAAACTCACAAAATCAAGCAGTTGTTAAAGAAATCACTTGTGCAGTTACCTACCAGGGGAACAGAAACCATGGCTGTGTTAGCAGCCACAATGAAACATCTGACTTGGACTAGCAAACAGATTTGTTGTAACAAACCTGTTTTTTCAGAGTATTAATACTGACAGAGTACTTCTGGAAATCAAACGCTGACTGCAGGTAAGCTGTGAACAGAAGAGGTTACACTTCAGGTAACTCATGTGGTATGACTTGGTTACTCAGCTGTACTCAGGTGCATCCCCTGACACACACCCAGCTGCTGTCTGCATGCTGTGCTCAGCCTCCTCCTCCTTCACCAAGCTGGCTGCATGGTAAAAGGGCTTTTTAAAGGCTCCTGTTAAATGTAAGAACACATTTCAATAGAATAGTTCTGGAATAAAACCTCCTATGCCTTCATACCATCCTTTTACAAACAACTAATAATCCACCCAAGGCTGAGGCCATGCACGTGGAGGATTTATTGTCCCAGTTCCTCATGGCGACCACAGATGGGCTGTAAAATTCCCCAGGGGACAATGTGACCAATGTCACTACTCGGTCCTTGACTGCCCCCTCATTCTCAATCTATCAGCGCCTTGCTTTCCCAGGGCAAGAAGACAGAGAGGGAATTCTTTAAAACAAAGAATGAACTGGGAATGATGCTGAAGGTCATCACTCCTGCATGTAGGAGGCAATCTGTCTGTGTTCTCACCCTGGAAACATCAGGCATTTGACAGTGCCCAAGGTTTTTCCCATTCTCCTTTATTTTATAATGCTGTTTCACTGAAGAAAACAGAGTAACTGAGGCAGCAATGCACAACAGGAGCTTTGTGCAATCCCTGCATTTTTAAAACATTTGACTGATGTTACACCAGGTTGTATCAAGAGTAAAATCAATCATGAAAGGATGAAAACCCCAGGTATTTTCTCCAGTTATTCAATTTAACTGTAACAAATCTATATGGATCCTTGCAGGATGCACAAGCAGTCCATGGCATGCAGAGTATTTGCTTTTACAGATGTTCAGAATCCAGAGTGTTTCTTTTATCAAAGTACTTTAAGACAAGTCAGCTTTTGAGACAAATCCATATGACTGAATATTTAAAGTGAAATAAAATTCTCATTCTAATAAATAATAGAAATGTTCCATCTTAAAAAATGTCTACTCTAGTAGGTCCTCATCCTTAATCATGCATATTCCCTTAGCAAAAATGTGCTGCGTAAAGAATATTGTTATATACAGCAAATCTGTCTAGATTTTTTTCTTTACAGGCCTATCAAAACCACGTATTACATAGACAAAATCAATAAATAATAAAGATTACCAGTTAGAGGTACAGTGAGGATCTCAACATCTGTTTTCTATTTAGGGAATAACAGACTGGTTTCCATTCTATTACCTTGAAAGTTAAATTGCTTGATTACATAAATGTCGTAAAACAGCACTGAGACATAGGAAGTTTTTCCACCATCTGATGCATGTTTTTAAATATTCACCCTGAAATAAATGATGAAAACATAACAGAACTCCTGTATAAAGCCTTGCATTTAGTACTGTGGTTCTTTTTGTTTTCACTAACCCTTCATGCCTTTAGAAACACCCAGAGCCAAAGTTCTGTGAGGAGCATTAAGGCCACACTCAGCTGAAGTTTCCAATGATCTTCCACAACTTCTAAGCACTACTAATTAGACTTTATCTCACATCTAAACTGATGCATTGAGAGATGTATTGTTGAGAACTATCACAAGTATCTGCCTGCAAAGGCGGATATTTGTGTTTTCCCATGATTTGAGTGCAATTTTCTACCATGACTACACACTGTGTTTATTTTTGTCCCCCTTAAAGCTCATTCCTAATATTTAATACCAAACATGTTTAATGTATCTGGAAACAGAACTGGTATTTTCATCTGGAAATCTGCTGATTTTTGCAGCTGATGTCATCTGAAGGTTGCATAAAGATGCTACAGTTTTGATGAGGTTGAGGGAGGAAAAGCATAGGTTAAAGGCAAATAAATTAAGGAAAAAAAAGTGGCGCAAATTAAGGCAATAAAAGTAAGGATCTGTTGCTGCTTTTTAGGAGTTTTTAATTCATGTCAGTGGAGTCACTCCTGACTCAGAGCAACGTAAGCCCGGAGTGCAGTGTTCGGCTCTGGCCGCTCACAGAACCAGCACTGAAAGCCTCTTCCTTGCACTGCTCCAGTTTGGGTCACAACTGTTTAGGTCTAACACTGCAACTTGTGTGTTTCACACATCCAATCAAATTGCTGCTCAGATAATTCACATCTCAGTCAGTACAAAATCAGACATATTAACTACAAAGGCCCTTCCCGCACTGGAAGGGTTTGTTGTTACTGGATATAATGACAGGTTCTGTTTTGGCTTGTGGTTTTCTTTCTACACCTGTGAATTGCAGATGTTGCTGGGTGCATTTGTTGCCATGCACAGCTAAATGATACATGATAACTGTACTGCTCCCCAGTGTTTGCACACACTTTGGGCATTAGCAAGCTGATTCCAAAGGCAGAAATACTCTGGGCATTTTGTGTTACTTTTCATTATCTTATCCTATGCAACACAATAATCAAATCCTAAGGAAAATTGCCAGTGGTCCAACAAAGGGCTACAAAACCTCCATGAGACACGATACTTTAAAACTGATATATAAAAATGTGAATATTTACCATTAAATCGGATAGGTCATGTATCTCTGATGCTTATACCAGTTGTAAATAACTTCCACGTATGTGCACAGTAGTCCACAACTCCACAGGCCCAGAAATGTTTATGAGAAAGATTTGGCCCACCAGAGCTCTAAGGAACACATGTATTTTTACAATCCACATGCCAGCATATGGAAATAATTTCTATCCTTTACAGTTTTTTGAAGAGGTATATCTTACAAGACCTTCTGGTAGCTGCTGGAAAGCTCAGGTATGACAGCTGAAGTGTGGAAGGAGATTTCAAAAAGCTCTTTTCCAATGCTATCTCACTTTCTGTAGCTCCTGTCTCAGCCACGATGGCAGGGGTTGTCCCAGTTTGTGGAGGAGTTTTGACAGTTCCACATTGTGATCTCTGTAGTAGCTCGAGAGAAAGGCCCTGCACTGATGGATACAAAAGGAGAGGTTTTTATTTAATAAAATGCTGTACTGCAGATGCTGTGAATTCGAGGTTTCAAAGTTGGTTTGGCCTGTGTGAAAACTTTACTTCCTTTATATTTATATTTTTTATGCTATCTACTGCATGCAAAGAGCTGAAGTCTGAAAGGTAATTTCAAGGGAAACAAAGGCTGTCCAAAATGAACACCAAAGTCAAAGCAAAATTTGATTCTACTTTTAGTCTTGTGGATTTAGAATCACACTGAAGGTGATGGAGATACTTTTGTGATAGTGTGATTGAAATAATAGCTACTAAAATAGCTTTGTATGTAGACTTCTATCAGCTAGCAACCCCCATTTTGAGAATTATTTAGAGTTGAAAAAGACAAGAGTTTGCACAAACACAGTCTTAACTTATCTCTGACCAAAATCCTTTTCATCCAATGGTTTTGTATCAGTATGACTCTGCTGAGGTCAAGTTATTTATAATTTAAGTACTGTGAGGAATAAGTCCTTGGTACATTAATTCTTACTGCTGTTCAAACTAGGTTTTTATTTGCATTTTAGGTAGGCTAAAAGAAATGGCAATGCAAGACAGAATCAACATGAAAGCTACAGCTAGAATAGGAGACTGAAATACCTTTGGGTAGAGGCTGCAGCATTTAATCTGTCTGAAATTTCCCCATTTGTGCATTTGTCTGGGGAAGGTATTTTTAAAATTCATAGAAACAGAACCTAACCTCTCTTAAAACTGGATTATGAGAGTGCCTGCACTACCTGTCACAGTCTAACTTGTCTCATAGACAAGGGCCCACATAAATACACCTATGACTGAGAAGAAACTTGCACTGTGGAACTTCTGCTGCTTAAGTCCATAAGGTAAAGGGGACAGGACTTCAGGAGCAGCACATTTGGTTTCCTAAGGGGTGCCAAGTTTTAGGATTTGTGGGGGTTTTCACTGTTCTTGTGTTTTAATGACTTAATCTTCACATTTGGAATAAAGAACTGAATGTCTATGCAGCCCACAGCCATCTTAAACATCTCCTTTGTAGGGAGATGTAACTCCCTACTCCAAATAAGTAACTCCTACTTAATTTTGTCTTCTCTCCCTTCTCATGACTTTGCTTGTGTCATGTCCTGTATGTGCCAACTGAATTCTTGTACAATGCCAATGGTTTACCTCAGAATCCATAGGGGGGTATTTTCTGCCTTTGCTCTTTCCAAGACACTTGGTTTTTCCTTCTTCCAAGAGCTGACACCAGAATCCTTTATGAGAATCGAACCTGAAACAAACATTGTGCAGTGTAAAATTTGTGTGCAACCAAATCTAGGAGTCAGACTCCAAAGGAGTGGGTGTTACATTCCTGACTGATATAACTGAATCTGCTTTTCAGCTAATGCCAAAAATAAAGAAAAATTATTCTATTTGCTTTATGTTTCTGCATATCAGCATTCCATATTCCACTTATGGAAGCAAAATTAATTTTGATCCATTCAAAATTCATATGCAATTCTCATAAAGCAGCACTTTGTCTGTCAGAGCTCTACTTCTGTAACAGCCAAGTGGCTCAGTGAATGATTCACAGAAAATTTAACCCCAAATTGTGCTCTGAACAATTCACCCTACCAACAGCTCAGAGAACTATGAAGGGCTTTATTCTGCAGTGAGCTGACTTACAGACTAGCTGTTTTTTTAGGAATGTAGGAATGTGTGAAAATGATGAACTGATTAACTCACGTTAGGGCTTCAGAGTAATTATAATGAGGAGAGACTCCCAGAAACTTCTGTACTTCATCCATTACTGTAGATGGGTCAGTTCTCAGCTGCTGTCCATCAATAATTAGCAACTACAACAGAGAAAATAAATGGAGGTTTAACTTGAAATTCATTATTTCAAGCTTGCAACTGAAACTTTCACCTCTGTAAAATTCCATCATATGGAGAGTAATGCCCCAGGAAACAATGATAGGCCCAGTCTCAATTGCGATCATCATTAATGGCCTGGGAGCAGGGTAAATAGCATCTTAATTAAATCTGAAATTTTATTGCATTGGAAGCTGTTGTGACAACAGAGAAATAGCAGTGAAGGATCTAGAAAGATGAGAAACACTGTCAGGATATTGAGAGAGACTGGTCCAGCCAAGAAAAAATTATATTAATGGCTACTACTTTTCCAGATAAAACATAAGGCCGTCAGGGCTGATTCGTCACTATCACTGTGGGACATAAAATCTGGCAAAAATCTGCATGACAATGATGCATATTATTCATTATTTACAGGTTACTTGTGGAGAAAAGCTAATGAAAACATAATGAGGAAAATTTCATTCAAGAGTCAGGATATATTACAGCACTGTGCATCTCATGAAGGTTGGCTGAAAAGAGAGTATGTGGAGAATAACAGCAGCTAGATGCATTGGAGCTTCCTTGGCACACTCCAGGGAAACAGAAGGTGCAGACTCCAGCCAACTTGCCTCAGCTACAAGACTCTTGGATAAACAGAAGGTTGGGATTGCAGCCAATCTCCCTCTAACTGTTGGGTGGGGAGCAGTGCCAGACACGCTGCCAATGTCACAAAATTCCATTCCAGAAATAAATCCCCAAGGACATAGTGATCATGTGATAGTGTCTGTCTGGTCTGCTGTTATCACATGATAGTCAGGGCTTAGGATGTGCATCTTTTGAGGCTTGACCTTGCATGGGGCCAAAGGAGGGTAATGATTTGTAGGATACCCCCGAGATCAGCAGTCAGTAGGCAAGACTTTAACAAAGGTAAACTTTTAGGACAATATATATATACATATATATTTGTAGGATGATGATGTCAAGAGTTTTGTTCACCTGGTAAGGTGGGAAGTAAGTGAGCCATCTTTCAATGTGGGTAGCATACCATCCAGGTGCCAGGCATCTCTTCTGGAGAGCTCTGAGCTCAGAGGGGGCTCGAGGGCCAGCTGTAATCACCTGATAGAAGCTGAATTTCAGAGCTGCGGGGTCTTCGTGGGATCGCTGATGCTGTAAAAGGAGTGACATTGATGGAATTTTACAGACCACAAAAGCTGGGGAAACAAGGCAAAACTGCTGCTCTTACTGACAAAAGTTTCTTAGCCTATCCTGTATTTTGAGCATGAACTAGGTAACTCTGTCTATATACTAATTTCTGTATGTGCTGATTACATTAATTAATTAAGTAATCATTTTTATATGCTTGCATAATAGATAACTTGAAAAAATGGTTACTGGTATTTTAACCCTTAAAATATGAGAGACAGCCCATGGGTGATCACAGATGGTCACTGTGTATATGGATATATCCTGAGAGGATATACAGAGAGGATTCAGGGTGGAAACCTGGCCTGGTGCCTGCCCATGTTCTCCCAAATGCGTACCTGGTACCAGGAGTACGCGCGGTCGGACGGGTCAATGAGAATGGTGATGATCTTGGCCTTGGGGATGAGGGAAGCCACTCTCTTGGGAGCTTCCTCAGAATGGAAATAGTTGGCACTTTTCTCAAAGAGGAAGTCCGTGGTGACATTAGAAGGAGTTGGAAAGAAATCCATGTACCTGGGAAAGCAACATCATTCTCAGAACTACTTAAAAATCACACAAAGGCTGATAAAAGCATACTTTATTCTAGAGTACTCAATTAAAATAAAAGCCTAAATGCAAAAAAAAAAAAAAAAAAGGCAAACCAAAGCTTACATTGTATCTTTGATCATATTTTACTTGGTACTAGCTTGCTTCTCACTACATGTAACTAGACATTGCAGCTTTTTTTTTTACAGTATTTATGTATTTTAAAATCCACACGTTCTCACTTTTCAGTCAGAACAAACTGCTGAAGTCCAAAGTAGAAACTGAGTTCTCCAAATTTAGCCTTTTGCTGACACCAATTGAAGTGCAATACTTAGTATCAACCAGAATTGCTTTCACTGAGAAGAGGCTGTTTATATGGGGAAGATGCACTGAAGCAATGTCCCACAGATTCATCAGGTTTCTGAGCAGTGACAGAATTAGCTTATTTTTCTGTGAGCCACATTTTTGGGAAAATTGGTTTGTAGTTGTTTCAGGGTTTTTTGCGAGCTTTCCACATCCGTTATGAAGTTGTAGTTTAATTCCTGCAATTGCTGTCATATAAGAACTTCTCTATCCCTGGCCCTCAGACCACTTTTTGTTATTGCTGGGGAAAACAATAAATAGGAAATTTTGGCCCTCTTGACTTTTCAGTTAACCTGTATTGAGAAAATAAAAGTTATTTAAACAGCCTCTTCTGAAGACCATGCTTAAGGACCAAGATTTCTTCCAGTGCTTAGACTTTTCTCTATTCATACAAATGAACTACTTCCAATACAAATGATGTACTCTTGTTGGCTTTGATATTGTAACCACTGAAGTCAATGGGCTTTTATTTCCCAGAAGTGTTCGGGCTGATTTGATGAGAATGATGAAGCTGAGAAGGCATTAGAGGAACTTGTCCATGAAATCTGTAACAAAACTTACATAAAGAAATGCAGGACTGGTCTGTTTAGACTTCTGCATTTCAACAACAGCAAGATCAGTTCTCATCTTACTATCCTGCCATGTCTGCTGGAAGCCTACAATTTACATCTACGCTGCTTTCAAAAGGGCAATACTGAGGTTCTGAGGGCTAAAATAACCCTCTTCTGCTTCTGTATTTGGCCCTGCTCTAAATCCAACCTTGGACAAAGACTACGAGTCAGCTCAGGGATAAAGCCCCATCTCCATAAATGTAAACAGAATTGAACTGATTGCTATTTGTGATTCTTGCAGGAATCCCAGCCAATTATTGGACTAATGAGGAGAGCCCTTGTATCTGATTACAAAGTGGCAAGCTCATTACAAGCCAGCATTAAAACACACTATCAGACTAGCTAGTCTGAGAGATCTGCCTGGCAGACAGAGTACAAATCAAAGAATTAGGCAACTACACCAACAGAGAGTTCTGAGGATCTGAGACTGAAGTGTGGGAACCTGGCAGGGGTGGTGGGGCACAGAGTGGGTGCTGTGGTGAGAACCTGTCAAGGGGATGTGCCTGGTTTATCCAGGCTGACCGCTGTGAGCTTTACACACCAGCGCCACATTAAGATGAAGGTAATCCGACACCTGTGTGGCAGCCACATTGTACCTGCACCCTAGGGAAGCAGATAAGGCAGGAGGAAAGAGAGAAGAAGCACAGTAGTTTTCCAGCAACATGAAAACATGGATTTTGTGGAAGAACGGGCTCGCTGTATTTCAGCTGCTCCATCAGCATGGAGCTGCTCTGCTTCGCCTGCATGTCCTCCTCACTGACTGCAAATGCCTCAGCAGCAATTTCCCACTGCCAGTCATTCATCCAGCACCTCTCCACTGGCACAAGGGCTGACTCACCGCCCTTCCCAGCGAGGATGTGCCGCAGCAATTACGACTCTGGGAAAACGAGTGGCGTGCAAACAGATTGGATCTGATGGGGCTGCAGTGAGACCACAGAACAGCATTCACCCCGTTCATTTTATGGATGAATACAAAGTCAAAGGCAATAAAAGTATTCTCCCTTAAACTGGGGGCAAAATGAAGAAACAAGACAAGAAATCAATAATCCTTCACTGGTGCTCCCCAGCCACTACAGCATGTCACCAGCTTTCATGCTGCAGTGCTTTACAGCACAGCACTTTGGGAGAACAGAGGAATCAGGAGTGACCTTCAGGTGCAGCTGTGCCTGGTGACTCCCAGGGAGACACAGTGAAGGTGGCAGCAGGGACACAGGCTCTGTCTCAGCACCACTTGCTGACCCGCACAGACACATTCTCCTAATTACCTGATCTTTAAAGAACATTTAGAGAGGCTTTCCCTGCCGCCATTTTTTATTATTTATATTATTGCTACCACTATATCCTATTTAAAGGAAGAAATTACTCTTACTGATACTATCTTTCTTTTTCTCTTAAGAAATAAGATTTCCAACAAGAACATAACTTTTGTGTCCATATATCCAACCTACCAATCATTACTGTCCCACTTTCAAAGGTATGTGTAACGAGAAATACATAATTTTGTTACTGCTCTGCGCATATCCTTATCTGGATATTTACAAGAAAGCCTCACAAAAGTTAGTGCATTTAAGATATTCTGTAGTAAGATCATTATTCACTTGCATTTATTTCTCATTTCAGAAAGACACTGAAGGTTATTTCTTATCTCACTTTACATATGTGCAGTTCCCATCACCAACAGTAATGTAATTTTTCTATTGTTCACAATATATAAACTTTTAAATTTATACTAATAACCCATCTTACCAATCAATCCCCCTGTGGTAGTTATTTCTATTAAAGAACTGTACCTCCTCAAAGGTTTTTGGGCTGGGGGAGTTACTAATGATGGAAGGATGCATGATCAGGAACAAATACAAGGCTGTAGTACCTGCAAATAGGATAAAAGTCCAAGATTTAAAAAAAAAATACACACACACACACACACATATTTTTGGAGGGATCATAGCTGCAAATGGGATTAAATCTGCATTATTCCATTTCAATTCACTGAGGGGATGTTGATTTATGTCACCTAAGATCCTGCACTTCCTGAGCTTTTAGAATTAGGACGTTAAAAGCACTGCAACCAGTTAATACAGAAAACTGAAGTACCAGTATTGAAATCTGTTTTTCCAACTTAAAATAGTCACATTTTTAAAAATAATGATTTATGTATATGAGACTGTCACAAAAATAATTTTAAAATGTGGCATTCAGTAGCTTTTGGGGATTGGTGAAGATGAAAGGAATTTCACAACTCTCTGATTACAGAGAAGAAAAATAACCATAGAGTAAATTTATAAACTAGAGCAATCTTGTAATGAAACTGTCCATTAGGAACTTCTTGACTTGAAAAAAATGCCAAGAAACAACAAGATTCTATAAACAAGACACATGCAAAAATTTGCAATTCAGAATGCAACCCATTTGAAAGATGTCTCTGTCCTGTCCGTTTCCTTCTTCCACTTTGACAAGAGCTTGTCTGTCTTGTTCACCTCTTTATCAAAGTTTACTCATTTTGATATAAAGCCCAAAAAAACCTGACACACACAAGAACCCTGCATTTTCAATGTGTACTGACTGCTGTTGTAACTCACATGATTAAGCTGTATTTGCATAGTATCCTAAAAATAAAAAAATGCTGTTGGATGATCAAGATCTCTACACAGCAGCCGGAGTCAGCACTGGTTAATTGTTTTACTTATTTGAAATTACACACAGCCTATCTTGGTGGAATAAAAGAAAATCTCACCAGTTTTCTGGGGTCCTACAACCAAGAATTTTGGTAACCGATCACAGGTTTTTTCCTTAGACCAGATATCTTTGTGCCGTTTGTCATCACAGGGGTTCTAAAACAGAGAAAATCACATTTGAAAAGGTTGTTAAATTACCCTTATATATAAATTACCTAGTTTTTGGCCATGTATAAATATTCCTACCAGAAATTATTTCTACTTATGACTGAAAACCAATGCATTCCAGAACTATTCCAGCAATTCAGAATGGTATTTCCAATGTGACCAGGTCAGAACCTGATTTGCTGAAGTGTCTGGAATTTTTTTTAAGGAAGCACGTTGAAGAAATATATCCTACACATATATAGTTGCCCCATTCCTGTAACAGCTACAACACTACATATGCTGCATTTTAAAACTAAAAGAGTAAGTTGATTATGGTTTAAGGCTTTCTATTCACAAATACATATTCTGATCTTCCAATACAAATCAGTACCTAATATTAATCTTTAATCTTCACTGCTTCACAATTGAATTGGTTTAAATTTGTTCTGGAAACGCTACTCACAAAGAATTTTTGAAATTGTTGTTTGGCAATACTGCACTGAGATGAAGAGAATTATCTTTACGTACCCCTCTGAGGCTTAAGAATATATACCTGTATTCAAAATCACATCAATTATGGACAAAACAGACCACATACAGTATGTCTTAGTCACTGTAACTGAAAAATGTGTTTTCAAAGTAATCATAATTTTTCAAGCAACTCGGTTACAGGCTAATTTTCATTTTTAAAATGATTGTCTCTTAGTGTTATGCAAAATCCTTGACATTCTCCCCTCTAGTTCAATGTTTTATTCAAAACCACCATGAATTTCAAGACGCATATTTAAGTACAAATTTGCAATCTCAGACCCTAAATTGGCAATTCCATATTCAATGCTGGAAAACATTTTAGCAAGCAAGCTTAAATACATTTTTATGTTTGATTTAGTAAAGTTTTCTCCTTAGAGTATTTCCACCAAGCCACCTTAGTAAGATTTTATTTGGGTTAATATTATCACTGTCAGGACTCAAGTATCTACAGCTTCTTGGCAAACTTCCTCCTTAGGCAGCTCCCAGCCTACTGTGAATAACTTCTGATGTATCTCATCTACTTCCACTTGGCTAATTAGGGTATCCATGGTCTTAATGCTCTTTTCTCTTTTTGGATGCCCTCTTCTCCTTACATGCTTGGAGAAAAACTCATTTCTTTAACTGCTAGAAGATGCATATAAATCTGCCTGTCAAATGCTTTGTTCCTGTTAGCTCCAAAAGGAGAAGAGAAATAACATGCACTTGCCTGCCTTTCCCCACATTTTTAAAGGCAAGTAGTGTCACAATAAAGATAATTTTAATTACACATCCTAATGTATACAAATTTCACAGCCTTTTACAAGTGACAGGAACCAAAATCACATCCTGAAGCTTCAGTTGCCTGTTCTATGGAACTAATTTAAAAATAAACTGCTTTTCTCTACAAGAAACTGAAACAAAGAATTAAAAAAAGAAACCACCAAGACAATTTTTCTCGGATCTCTTGCTCAGCCTTCACCTGCCAGAGAGGGTCCTTCTGCTCAGGGAATAGCTCAAAATACTTGTGAGCCAGCTGGACCGGGGGAAGGGTTTGCAGTTTCAGGTTTGTCCAGGTACGAACGAAGTTGGCCAGATTCACAAAGGTGTACAAGCCCAGGCGGTCGTTCCCGTAATTAGACAAGTGTGTCATGAAGATGCTGATCTGTGGGAGACAAAAAGAAGAGCACACCTCGAGTCCTTACATCACTAGATGGCAGTGCAGCCCCAGGTAATGTAAATCTCATTTGCATTTTGCTCTTAGAGCAGCAAGCCTTGGACCACATTCACACAGCCCTTACTACCCTGGCCCCTCACTGAATTACATCCTTCTTCTCAAGTCGACTCAATGCAAACAATGAGGAAAACCCTGGAACGGGTCCCATGAGCAACACTGACAGGACCTTCATGTGCACTTACTTCATGGGATACAGCAAAAACAATGCCCACTGCTTTACTTTAAGAGGAATACAAATGCAGTGTTAAAAACATAATTTCTGTTTTCCTGGAAAACAGAAAGTAAAGAAGAGTAAAGAAGCAACAGATTAGGGAAGCAGCTGAGCTCTATTGCTGTGATTTTAATCTTATGGCTGCAGGTCTAAGTTTTCTACAGTGCTCATCTCTTCTACAAAGGTATTCAGCAAGCACTGGCCTGACACACAAAACAGTCAAAAATCTGAAACCTGAGTACTTTGAAGTAACTGTGCATGGAATATTCCCAAACAAAAAACACCAGAAGTTGTAAGGCCGCTGGTATTTTACTCTCCCAGTATCTGCCTATGAAGGTGATAGCCAGATACACCCCTCCCGCTCCAGCCCTTGGTCCAACTGCACTCCCAATGGAAGCAATGCTTCCATGAAGGTATCTCACAGGAAGGGTATTTTTGGATACACCTAAACCGAGCTGGTGAACAGAGCAGGAATGCACAGACTGCAAGAATGGGCTCTCAGGGACTGAGGAAGGGCTGCAGACAGAACCCAGTTTTCTACAGTGATTCCTTTCCAAGGTAATTTTTCACTAATGCAACAGTTCACTCTTACACTGAAATCTGCAAACCCTCACCTCTCCACCAGTGATTTCTTTCTTGAAGTTCTTTTTAAAGTAGAACTCTCCCAAGATAAACTCTCCAGACTAATTTCCAATAAAAAATTAGAAACATGACTCTTCATAAATAAATCTGCTAATGCTATGAATAAGAAATTTTTATTTAAAGTAAAGTAAAACCTGATGTAAGCCACTTCAAAAAAAGAAAAGATTATCATGGTCATAATGCTGAAATTAGTTCAGGAACTGAAGTTAATCTTTTGTAAAGGAAATCCAGTCCTTAGGTTAAAGAAAGAAAATAAAATAATGAAAAGCTGGTATTTACAGTAATATCAGAAGATACACACTCCTAAATCACTAGGAGATGATCTTTCTTTGTGAGTAGGACTGAGAGTGAAAATCCCTTCCCTTTAGGCACCTTTTCAAATTTCCTTTTTCATTTCAGTTCTCAAAGCAGGAACAGAGGAGCCACAGGACTAAGTTGTTCTCACTAAAGTCACAACCAGCAGGTTTCCATAAAAAAAGGTTAACCTGCTTTCCTGAGAGCCCCTTTATTTCCTACACATGGGCTGACCTCTGACATTTTTAATGTCAATTCACCTCCTGGCAACTCCTTACCTGCCAACAGCTACTGCACTGCTATGAAAGAAAAAGCAAGAGAAGTTGAAAAGATTGCTAGTACACGGAAAATAGAATTATTCTTTCCCTGAAGAGAATATCGCTGTAATCACGGAATGTCAGTACAGGCTGAGAAATTGACTGGACATATCATTATAAATAATTGCCAGCATACAAAACTGTGCCAGTGAAGGGGAAAAATTACCAGAGACCTAAGCTCCCATTTTAGTTATATTTTTTAAAGTCAAATACTTAATGGTTAATTATTTACAGCACAAAGATGATCAAATACTGGTTTGAAAACTTAAATGGCTGAATCTTGTAAAGAAATCCGTAGTTAGCCAAGCAGATACATGACCTAATACATGACTTTACATTGTAGAAAAAGACTCTCCTAGATGGCATCATAAATATCACAGATCAGCTGAGAGGGATGGTGGACCACTCCCCACTTCCCTGTGCAGAAGGATGGGAACACAAATTAATCCCCTTCCATCTGCAGGTGGTGCCATACTGGGTTTATGATGCTTTAATTTCCTCTATCATACCACATCCTGAGTCATTCAAACAAGTCCTAATTAACAAGAATCGTTATTCTTTCTCTGCAGCTAATAGCATGCTATGCTTCTAAAGATTTACTCTCTTGGAACCACTAATCAAGGAGCTCTAAAAGGAATCCTTTGTGGCCATGTCCCAAGGCTAGACCTAGTAAATAACACTATTTGTTCAAAAATCTTCCACCTCTGGGAAATGCTGTAAAATACAAACAGAACTTAATATATTTCTTTATTCCTTCTTCAACAGGGAAGCAGCTGTGAACAGATTTATATTTACTCTAACAAGCATTTTAGCCTCCTTTTCAGATAAAAAGAGCTTATTTGATTTTATTATTTCCAGCACTCTTCTCAAATAATTTCTTTCAGGCACCTCAGCATTTTCTTTATTTCAGTGCAGAAGGATCACTCTTTTTTAGCTGTTCCTCATAAACAAACCATCATCCTGGTTGCACTTCAATGCACAGTCTCCATGGGATTTAATATCCTTCACGAGGGAACTGAAATAGAATGCAGACAGTTTTAAAATGATGGCTTGGGACTAAATCTGGCCTCTGGGCAGCAGCTCCTTTCCTGCTCTCACACATTTTCAGATCAGAGCTGCAGAGGTACTCTCCTGTGCCCTGCCTTCTCCTTCCTGCTTCTCTTCAGGATTTTCTTGTTCCCCAGAGTGAAAGGTTAAGTTACATTTGAGATCTAAGTTACATTTGCTCTCTTTCCCCAGTCCTGATTTTATGTGGGATCCTGACTGGTACTGCAGAAATATAGGGAAATGAGAACAAGCACTCAGGAGAAAGCCTTTATCTTTTTGACAGCTCATTCTATACTGTGTATTTCCTTACTACAACATATCCCAGTTAGAGGCAACAGCTTTTACGTCAATAAACTGGTGCTGAGACGAAGAATGAGCTTGCTATTAAATCATGTCTCAGGAAAAGATGAACCAGCATGATCTAATTTATGTATCAAGAACTGAGAGATGCTTGACAAACAACTTGCATAGAATGAAATAATGCAACAAGTTACTCAATTTCTAGTGATGGATGTTAATTGGCTGGGTATTTTAAAAATACTGATCACAAAAAAATCAAGATTATTAGGATGCTGCACCTATTGAAATTATACAACAAGGACACTACTCAAACTGAGCTTCTGGAATATTGGTAAGAGCTGACAAAACAGAGGTGCCTGACTCCCAAAGGAATGATATTACCACTCCCAAGAGTGACTAGCCTTTCCTAGGGCTCCTGGCTTCTTCCCCTGGAGTCAAGGGGTCTCTCTTAAGCTGCCAGGATGAGACCCCAGAGCAGAGAGAAGACGTTTTTCAAACATCAACTGCAGCAGCATGGGAAGTGGAGGGAAGTCTGAGAGTTGCAGGACACTGATAATCTTGAAGAGTTTATTTATTTTGGCATTTCAAATCTAGAACTAGAAGAGTTGGTATAGGAAAAAACATCTAGTGAACACATTACATACTAGGCACTTATTTTTTTACCATATATAAATCTATTACAGGCAATTCCAACTTGAATAAATTCCTACTAATAAACCAGTCATCAAAGTACTTTAGTCACAGACACTATGTCACCCTCCCATCTGTGCAACAACATTACAAGATAGCATTGAGGCCTCCCAACCCAATGAAGTTATGCACAACCCTTCAAAATGAAGTTAAATTATGATTGACAATTAATTCTGTGGTCTCGGCCAGGCATTCACAGCAGATGCATTACCAGTTTGGAATATTGCTGGTTTTTTAGCTACTGAGCACATGCTTACAGGCCATGAGAGTACATCCAACTCTCAGAACACCTATATTCCAATTAATTTGGCATTGTGCACACTCTGTTTGCAGTCCTGCTATTGTTTCCAAGTTATTCCGAACCATTTTGTTTCAGCTATTCAGAGACTCAGTAACTGCAGGTTTTGGCCCATTAGACTGCCGAATAACAAATCAGAGCAGAGCCTATATGGAATAAGTATTTTTAATAGCTGAAAGAGTCCTTTCAGACCTGGATGCTTGCAGAAAAGCTGTATTCAATTCCATCACGGAGATTCCAGCTTGCAACTCCCTTTTTAGCCCTGAGTTTGTCCTGCTGCTTTCACAGCTGCCACAGACCTGTCCTCTGCATTTACATAGTGGTGTCTCCACCATAAATACTATGAGCCAGGGAAGACTTATGAGCTCAAACAAAATCATGTATTTGATGTAGTTCTGAATTGTTGATCACACAGTCAGGAACCTCAAGTTTATTTTCTGCTGCTGCTCATTCCCCTTCTCACTCAGTAGTGGTAGTACTGTTCAAAAGACTTGCTTCACTCTAAACCACTGGCACAAAGCTTTCCATTCAGAATTTTAAGAATCACAGAAGAGTAAAGATTTCTGATTGCTACAGTTTCAATGCATTTCCTGCCCACTCTTACAAGGAATCAACTCGAAAGAGAGAGCTATTCCTGTCAGTTCTGCAGCCTCTCCACACTGCCTGTTCACATAGGAATTTCTTTTGGTTTTTTTTTTTTTCCTATTCCACCCACAAAATACCAGACTATGTCTGGCTTTTATGGGTGGGTTTTGAAGAACAGATAGGAAGGCAAAGAATACTTGTGCTCTGCAGTCAGTCAAAATGCTTGGCCAAACTGATTTCTCCTCCTCCCCCAACTCATGGCAACTATTGCTGGAGTTACAGGCATGACGAGGACAGGGAAAAAATGCCTTTATCACCCACGAAATGGGGCAAGCCTTTCAAACTGAACCATCTTTCCTGCTTCTCACACTCAGTGTTGAGTGTGAGAAATACTCAACAACTCAGAGGTTGTGCCAAGCAAGATGTACAGAAAGGGAATATCTGAGTCTGAATGTCTTTGATTTTGATTTTCTTCTGTAATGCCAGTTCAGGGTCACATTAAGACACAGCAAGTTCTGCTGATGCTCATACAAATCCTCTCATTTTCAGTGCTGAAGGAGATAATTTCTCCCTTGATGCAAGTCAATTAGCTTAATAACAGCTCTACTCACTACAACTGGGGAGAGGTAAAAATTAGAAGAAAATAATACTTAGAAATGAATGCACACAAAGACTACAATTATTCTGAGATCAGTCAATGTGCCTAAAGCATTAACAGCCTTTCCTCTTCATCAGCACTGCTGTAACCATGTCAAGAGCACACAGCTGGCTACACATTAGTTTCATTGTTGAGCTGTCAACCATTTGAAGGCTTTCACCAAATTCCTCTCCACAGGGCATTTTCCCTTTACTTTCCATCTGCAGGCACACAGTACTTTGCAAGGAAGTGCATGTGAGCGCATGTAATGCAATTGTTGCATTCTGTTTGTTAGGGGCAGAAAAGGTATAGAAAAATTTCATGAACTGTTGGTTACCCTTCAACATTCATCTCACAGGACAGAAAAGCTCCAGATCTTTATCTTCTGCAGTTCAAAGGATCTGAGAAGCAGTGGTAGAGTTGATGGCAGTACCTATACTGACCTCTTCATTATACATAGCTAAAAACCTAATGGCTGACTTCCTACAAAGGACAGATTTAGGAAACTGCTAAAATTTCGTTCTAAGAAATACTGAGCAGAGATTGGTTTTACTAATCCAAGAACTTAACCGCTTATTGCAGATATATGTGAATCTGAAACCACTGAACAGTCTAACTAGTTTATCAGGAAAAATACTTGCTAAAATGTTTTAAAGACAGTACAGTGTTATGAAAACCAGTAACAATGTGAGATGTGTCTGACTGGATAAGATACTCATCACTAGACACTTCTACAGTACACTTCTTCCTTTTGGCTTTGCCCCAGAATTCCCTGGCTCAGTCAGTGCAAGTCCCTCAACCTCCCTGTAAGTCAATTATTCAGCTGATAATGTGGGAGAAATAATGCCAGTATATCAATAATACAGGCTGCTGAAGTTTGCTTTTTTGTTTCTCGTGAAACATTTTGTGCAAGATCCTGATAGAGCATGATCTCGCCCGAGGGCTGCTGCAGCCAGCAAGATCTTTAACAAGGGACAGACTTAAAAAATATTACTTCACGAGTGGGTAATAGTGTTCTCTTAGTGCTTTTTTAGGAACAGCCCTAAGAGTGTTCTCTTAGGGCTCTTTTTCTGCTTGGTGGCACTTTGGAATTTGGGATGCTGATCAGGTCCCAGTCACCAGTACAGGGGTACCAATGAAAACCACAGGAACACAAGCTGCCAGCTGTGAGATCTGCTAATGCACCAGGCCAGCTGCTGGTTCCCAGTTCCACATATGCAGAGCAGCATTTCCTGAGGCCTTCCATACCTGCAGAACGCCTGCCCATAGAGTACTCTGGGAACAGGGCCATCACACTGGTTCTCATGACAAAAACCCACAGCTGCACACAGGGTCTGGTCCTGTGGTTTTCTTGTGGTTTATCCTGCACATGGTACTTGATCAAGCACACTGTAAGGAGGCAGAGACTCTCTTACACCACTGCACAGCCAAAGCACTGAGAAATTTTGGGCTCCATTCTTAGGGGCATTTATTTCAATGTAGGGTACTCAGTTCCTGAAGTCTCAGCCTGGTAACTTGCACTTCAAAAATAATATTCACTTCCAAATTAAATATAATGAAGAAATTTGTTAAGATTAACATTTAATCCACACTCACATTTTTCAGGTTTGGAAACTATTTATGCACTCACTATTGAGAACGTTGTTTAGCTGACATTGTAATGATTCATGGGTGGTGTTTTCCCTTCTAAGTTTTGTATCAGTGAAAAATAACATTTTGAATATGCCTCATAATGGAATTTTTACATCCTCTCAACAGCTGTGTGTTTCTCATAAAGAAATCCCAGCAATTTTAATGAAAACACAAGAAAGCTTATGAAATCCGAAATGCTACTCCATAATTAGACAGACTCCTAACGGTATTTATCTTCATTTTAATGACTAAATTTTTGCCCAACTCTGACTTGCAAACTATGACATAAACACATGCAAGATCTAAACCCCACAAATATACAAAGCTCAGTCTTTAAACTGACTGTATGCCAGGCTAATGCTTAGAACCTCAGGAAATGCTTATAGGCAGATATTTAGAAACTAGATGCATTGTCTTTTCAAAGGCATTCCTTAGAAGGAGTCTTGGGCAGATTTTAGCCTAATATTAATTTACAGTTATATTTAGAAAACACTGAATTTAGCTTCTGTTCTTTTAGCCTGTATTGCATTTGGGATATCGTAATTTTCAGAAGTAGGTGATCACACAGTCTACATAGCAATGCATGAATCAAAGATCTAATTGTAATGTATTAAAACACATTATTGTGCTCTCATTCCAGGATGTCAGGCAGACATGATCAAACCTCCACGATGAATATCAAAAATCAGGGGTGTTTCACTGCTTGTCTTCCATTTTCTTTATTCTTTTTATTTAAAGGGCTTATGACTCAAGCACTCATATTAAATGTTGTTGTTTCCTTACATTGTAAAATAGTTTTTGGCTGATGTGGCTGTATTTCAAGGTGGAATATATTTTGTCCTGACTCAAAATATTGTTCTGTGCCTTCCTCAAATTTGGTCACCTAGTAACTTCTAGTCAAAACCCACATAATGCCAAAGGACTGCTATGGTGCCAATACCCTCCCCACCCAATGAATTTTCCAGGTTTCAGCCCCATTAAACTGGGGTGGGAAGCAGATGGTCTGGAAGGTCCCTTCCACCCTACACCATTCTATGACTGATTCTATGCTGTGCCTGGAATGATACACATCAAAGCCAGGACTGCAACCACTGCCACCCTCTAGAAGACAAACCCCACGTGTGCTAAAGAAGGTAGGTTTTTATTTTCCAGCTTTGCTATGTGAATGTGAAAAAGGGGAACAAAACACAGTAACTGCTCTCAAAGAGCCAACACTATAGCCTGAGAGAATCTAAGGCTTGAAAAAGGCACCTGCATATAAATTGCTGAAACAGCTTTCAGAAATGCTTTTCCTTTGGACTGCATTACATTGCAGAAGATTAAAAAAGGGCACAAAATATTTAGGCTGTTATCCCAAAAGATTTGAGTGGAAATATGTTTTGTTCCCTTTGGTGTTCCCAGTGACTACATTTCCATAAAACAGCAGAATTTTATTTATATGTTTGATTTGGATCCCAAATCAAAAAAAAAAACCTCATCTAAAAGCTTGTCTGAAAGGTCAGTTTTGAGGCAGCTGACCTAATCTCATGCCATTTTGAAGTACTACACTCCTCTCTTTTGTCAATGTTCTGTAGCTTCAGCGCCTCACTAGCTGTTTATCTTCCATTAAAGAGAAATGAAAGGTTAAGCAGATATGGTTCATTTACTCAGATCTTTTCTTTCAACTGTGTGGCTCTTTTACTTGGATCTGTTCTTTGAAGCTGCTATGAGAGAGCAACTGAAATTTCTCAAAACTGACTGGAACCCAAGCATTCCTTTCTTGCAGCCTTCTCACCTCAGTAAGTGCTCCCAACACTTAGCATCACGACTTTGGCACAGCAGAGAAATGAACTTTACCTGAGATACTCACAACAGTTCTTCACACTCAAATTCTTTGAAATATTAAATCTCAGGGGGTCTTATTTCATGCAAAAAGTGAAGAACAAGACAGGCTGGCACTGCTGCATTATAACAAAACAGATGTCAAAAAAAGGTGGAGACTGCTTTGTACAACTAAGAGAACTCATATAATATTAGCTCTTAATTTAAATAATTGAAAAAGCAAAAGAACTCACTGTCAGTAACCATTACTATTTGGGAGACGCAGCAGATCAGCCCTGGAACATTTTTCCTTAATTAATTTTTTAAAAACATTTAAAATTCCACTGTACTTACTGGATTGAGAACCACTGTGAAGAACAACTCTCCTCCTTGAATACTTTTGTCTAATTCCTTTGGACCTCCAGGATATTCTTTATAGAAAATGGTGTGGGTGAATAAGCCACAAGTTTGCCTAGGAAGCACCTGAATTTATGAAAAATACATTAAAAAAATGAAGAGCTTATACTTCTGATGAGATGATAAAAGTCAGAGAAGTCACATATAACAGATAATTGCTGGGTATATTTGGCCTTTCAACTTTGCAGGAAATCAACACTGATCTAGATGAATTATTATCACCAAAATCATAACATCTAAAAATACATCATATTTTGTTTGAAATTGGAGACTGATCTCTATCACCAAATTACAGTTCTGGAGTCTCCTCAAACTCATTCTGCCTATAACACCTCATCCTAAATCCAAAGTCTAAAGTTTTAAAATAATGTGAAAGATAATCTAAAATATTATCAGTCTGTATCATATCAATCTGTTCCACTTTCATCTGAATGATGGCTTTGTTGTAAATTTAAACTGTAATTGGAAAGGCAAATTGGGTTTTCTGTGCCTTAGGCATCACTACCAATAACTCTACTCTGACACATGGGGAAATTTGCCAATAATGCTCACCTTATAAAAAAGATTTACTTCTCATTCAACTGTGCTATTTTTCAAGACCGGTTGAAATACGTAGTACAAGGAAAATTATTTTTTAAAACATTCCATGAACAAATCTTTCGTTCTTGAATATGAAGAACTACTAAATGCAGTTATGTTTTTCATCAGAAACTCAAAATATTTTCTCCTGAATTCAGAAAATAATTTACTGGAGAATATTTCAATTATGTCTATTCCTTATGGAAAATCAACAGCTGAGTAGGGAAGTTCATGTATAATGCTTAACTGGGATTGTTATGATAGATTAACTTTTTAAGCATACAAATGCCTTATTTAACACAGGTTGTAGTTTTGTAGATAGTCTTCTTGCAGTTTCATTTCTCAACATTTTTTTTCTTGTGATGTAGAGAATACTGTGATCAAGGATCGTAAATTTTGTTGTCAGAAAATGTATAGAATTTGTACATCTGCCATGAACGTGCCTAAGTTTTTAAAAAACCTTTGGATTTCACAGAGGAAATACAAGAAGAGTTTTCAGAGGCAGGGAATTCAGCTGTACTGGATAGGAGGTGCTCTGACAAATCTTACACAACAATGTTCCCACAGAGTATGTTCATTACTATTAGCCTGTAGATGTAAAATACTGATGCATTTGCCCTGGAGAACTGAAAGCCTGCATTTCCCTGAACAGGTGGTTTTATAAGACTGGTTTTAGAAAGATTTTGGCTGCAGCGTCCTTGTGTTAAATCTCATTATGTGTCTTCAAATGACGTGTTTTTACAAATATTTATGGAAGGGATTTTTGGAGATTCTGAGTCAATCTGTCTTCCCCAAATGCTTTGTGCTCCCTAAGCACATCCACAAACCCCTTATTTCACATGCAGTGATTGCTTTGAGGAGAACAAACTGTAGCTCAGCACTATATTGGTGTCAGTTTTTTGCCTCGATTTCTGAAGATAATTTTCATTTGCTTCACCCAAAAATAGATCAAAACATTAAAATACTACTACTTAGCCTAGGAAAGTGGTATCCATGGCAACCCAAGAAGAATACCAGAATTCTGTTCTAAGTCTTGTGCCAAGGCTTTTGACCTCCCAAAAGTGCCTGTTGCAGCCAGAGGTACAACAGGGCCCCCACTAACTGCTCTCCCACACGCTCCAAAAGAAAGTTACTTGGGAACATGCCACCAAGTATTTTGGAAAGCTGTTTTGAAATGCTTCTGAGGTAATATTGATGAGATGTGAACCTTTAAAATAGCCTCCACCCCTGACAGCAACAGCACAACACCTTCCATGTCAGTTGTGCACAAGCTGTTCCTTTGGCAAACGCGGCTGTCAGTGACAGTGCTGGGAATTAGGTAATTGAGGAAAACAGTGGGATTTGAGAGCACTTCGGTAGCCTGGAGGTGGTGTGGAGCATGTTCTTCCTTCCCCTCAGCTCCTGAGGCTCTGGGTTAAACCAGGCTGCAAAGCCCAGCCCACATTTGTGTATGGCAGGAAGCCAAACAAGAGCAGCCATGCACAGTTCATAGGGAAGACAAAAATACATACCCCACCCAGATTCAGATTCTGAGGTGGTATAACCAGGCAATACTCTTTTGCAGTTCATGTTACCATCTAAATTTAAAACCCAATAGAAATCTAACCCAGCATATTGTGTTAAATGATGCAAAATTGACTTTTTCCTTGAGCTCATCGAACCAGCATTAACCAGAGGACTAGAACAGTTAACAGCCTGTTAACTGCTGTCAGCAGGATGCCTGGATGCCACCTTCATCAGCAGAAAAATCACCAGCAACAGACTGATTTTAATTAACAAGACACTGTGAAATATACCTTGCTACTTATGCATAGCAATATGTGCTTCTCACAGTGTGAACTCTCAGGATACCCTGCTTTTCCACTTAAAAGGAAATTGTTCATGAAATGGCAGAGTACAAAATGAACATCAGTAACACAACTCACCATGATGTTTTTGTGGATGAAGCCTCGTCTATACCTTGCAGGTTTCAGATGTGGGTATTCTTCTGTGCTAGTTACTCTGATGTTCCAGACCTTTTTCCAGGCATCATAAAGCTGAACATGTACTGGATAGACTCCTGAGTGGTGTGGAGCCACTGCGTAGCCCAAGTCAGTTGGAATACCATGTTCCTAAAACACGACAGAACAATGGCTGCACTCAAAAATTTAAGAAACTTGATGTTTTGGCATTTCTCAAATGCTTTGTTTGTGAAAGACCAAGAACAGGTGTGAAATGCAAATAACAGTAATATCAAAACATGATGGTCTGGAAGGAGACGGAGGGCAGTGTGGTGAAGATGAAACACAGGATTTTAAGATAAAAGCCTTTTTAGAAAGTATTTTTGTGAGTAGGCAGGGAAGAAGGATATAAATGCATTTTACATTAGTTTCTTCAATCTACATGAAACAGAAAGCTGCACACTTTCAAGTTCTTGCAAGGAATTTGCTCACAAACTCCAATTTCAGAGAGATAATCACTGGTACATACTCAACACAACGCGTAGCATTTGGCAGCTGCAAATACAAAACCACAGTTTCCACTACATTTCCCTTCACAATTACTTGGACGAGGAGCTGCGTTTCAGAGTCACTGCATTTCCCCTCTAGTCCATTCAAAACACAAATCCATTTTCAAAAACAGCTTAACTATTTTAGTGTCATGTTAAAAACAGAAGAAAGATAACCATTTGTAACAGTCTACAGGCAGATGTTGTACAGTAAACCCTTCTGTAGCAGAAGAACCCTTCCTATTTTCAAGACTGCTGGTATTTATTTTGTGTACATACCTTGGTGCCATTACATTCTCTTCACATCCGATGCATTTTCCTTCAGGATACTTTTCAAAGGAACAGTATATAGCAGATATTCCTTGACAGTGATCAGCAGAATGCACAGTCCATAAGATATCATTTTGCCATGATTTAGGAAGACTGCCTTTGCACTGCCTTTGAATTCTTAGAGTTTTTAATATGGCTTGAATTGATACAGTCATCTTCACCATATTTTCTAATCCTACTGTGTGTGCAAAGCATTGGCTGATTCCTGGACCTCTTCCTTTCAATAAACTAGGTACTAAGAAACATGAAAATATTTAGAAAAATGGGTGTGTGGTGTTAGTAAAACCATTTATTGTGTGTAACAGACACACCTGGTTCAATCACAGTGGAGAACCCTGAGTTCTCCATGTTTAAAGAATGGTGAAATTCTTGTTTCCCTTTAGGAATTTATGGCACACATAAAGGGCACCATGTGTAATCTGCCAAACAGGAATGAGTAACATCTGCCCTCCTGGCTGTACTGCACGAGAAGATAAAGAGTGGATACTCCATCAGTTACGCTGCTTTACTTATTTCCATCACAGATAATCTAATTCTTCTTCCTTTTATCTTTCCTACTGCCCTTAAGCATGCATGCACATCAGAAAGGAAAATATTCACAGATCATGTAAGAAATTGCATTCTCTAACATCTCACTGCATCGCCTTCATTTAGCTATAAGCAAAAGTCTGATTTTTAAGGCTTCTCCCCTCAAGTTTGACAATAGGCAGTAATAAGTATGTAATCTAAATCTTTCACTCTAACAAGAGGCCTATCATCTCCAATCAATTAGTGTCTCCATTATTCCTTACTGACTGTTATTCCCCAGTTGAGCATCTCCCACACAATACACACATTGAGTGGATAATGTGCGAGGCATCGGCAATTTCAGCCTCTTTCAAACAAGTGGCTACTTCTCTCTGTTATTAATTTAAATGCTCTGAGCAAATTAAATATAGAGTGTGGCTTCATGTCTGTATGTCTAAACATGAAAAAAACTTATAGAAAGTATCTGTAAGCATTAAGAGCATTGAAAGTGTGAAGAAAATGGCAATTGCTGAAGTTACATAAACCAGGGTTAAAAACGCATTATCCTTATAACACTGTTTAAGGATTACATCCTGCACACTAATCCCAGAGGATGCCTTATGTCACACCAGAACTACAAGGACCATTTTATTTCCAGTGGACCTTGCACCACTACACAGAATCATATTAAAAGGGAAATTCTGGACACAAGATTTTTAAATTTTTCAGGAATTTAACACCTACTGCAATGCTTTCTCTAAAGGAAACATTAAAGTAGAGCTGTCCTGTACTCAGTACAACTACAATTTGCAGCAAACTTGGAGAAGTCTTTGTTTGAAAGAAAGCATGTGTTTCACTTAAAAGCCAAGTTTTCAAATACAAACTTTAATTGGCTGATAGGTCTAGCCTGTTCTCCTACACTCACTGACACATGACCATTAAGTGCACTCTTTCTTGTTCTGGTATTTCAAATCCCCCTTCTCCTTCCAGAAACAAAACCATCACCTGCCAGCTACAGAGCACCCAGTGGATTTTGAAAAGGAAGAAGTAAAATTAGGCTGTAGTAAGAGCAAAAGCAGTCCAGCAAACAAGTGGTGTCTGCTGATCTATTTTGATACAATTAGGTCTTAACACCAGACTATTTCTTCAGGCAAATAACACGTTTTACGTATGGCAATTTTGGTTTATGGTATGAATTTAACTGTGATCTGTTTCTCCAATATCCTCAGACCTAAAATCTGCTTTGATTTTTTCTTATATTCTCACTGAAACATTCTGATTCAGAGCTTCACTGTGAATAAATAATTAATAAAGGCAATGCTTTTCAAAACAAGTTTACATGAAGTTGATGCAAAGGGAGTATATAAGGTGTTATTTGATATCACTGCAGAATTGCATCTTTGAAAAAGTGGCACACTTACCTAACCCTAACATCCAGCGGTTTCACAAAGTCATTTCATACCTTTCAATACACTATTTATTCTTTCAGAAACTTGGGGTTTTTTTCTAGTCTAAACAGAATAATGGTTTCTGAGTACCTAAATTAAATAAAAAATGCAAAAATGTAACTCACTAATGCAAATTTTTTGTTGAGGATCATCTGCTCCACCAGCGAGGACTCATTGTGGAAGAGGTGTGGCTGCATGTGACTCCACATGTGGGGAAACCACCAGAACTCATCCACAGATCTCAGCAGCAGGTCATCACCCTCATCCTCCTCCTCAGTCCCTGCAGAGGAAATTAAAAAATCCAAAAAATTCAAACATTTCTACTTCAGTAGAAATTAAGTTTCTATTTTTATTATATTTTTAAAAATGTTTGAAACTGTAAGAAGGATATTAACATAATAAACTGTGACCAGTTAAAATACTTCCTGCTGAGGCACTGGTGATAAGATGGGACAGTCAGGACCACTTGGCTGGCCCATATCCTATTTACTACTCTTGCTTTTATCTCTCCTATTTCTATATGGTTTTAAAACAAAATTATTTTAAGAGATAATATATACTGCTATATTTCTACAGTAGAGATGAAGCAATCACAAGGATGAACTGTGGTAGCTCAACAGATCCTTCAGTGAAATCAATACAAACTTTTTTGTGATTGGTGGAATTTATCACTCAAAAGCAGACTGAAAGGAACTAAATTTTAATAAAAGGGGGGAGGCATCTAATCTGTTCCACACCAGCAACTAATGCAGGAACACAGCATACTAAAATCCTTAAGACTCTATCATTCCTACTTGTCCTCACACTATATAGAACACCATCAAAATCAAAGTAATTTTAGTGCTTCATTCTTACCTGTGTGATAAAATTTTCCTGAAAATCCCAGGTTGAAAGTAAAATTTGTAATCTGGGCTCTCAAAAGATTCTGAGTATCAAGTAGGGCCTGAAAAAGACGTAAAGCAGCATATAAACATACCTGTAGAATATAATAAAAACATATAAACAAAAAAAGAATATAAACAAAACCTGGCATACAAACTTAATATAACAATATAAATATTTTTATAGTTATGTGCCTTTTCAATTGGTTTTGCTATTTAAAAACAGCTCTTTATGTATGTCAGAGAAGTACAGATATTTTTATTAGCACATAAAGATTAAAGACCACATGACACTCCATCATTTTCCTCATAAAGATGACCAGCTAATAAATGCTGGGTTACTCCCTGAATCATGAGACAGGAAAACAAAGGCACACAGAGAAAAAGACCTTCCACCAGTCACTCAGTAAACCTGGGCCACAGCCAGGAATTGATTTCAGATCTCCTGTGCCCCCCAGCACTGCTCCATTCTCAAGGGTGAAGAGCAACTGTCGGAGCTACATTTCTCTGCATCAGCTCAAGTACATCTACAGCATCTCAATCATGTTTCAAAATCACGGGCAAGGTGAAAAGAAAATCTAGAGAGACAGCAAGAAGCTAAATCAACCCTATTCCACATCAAAGAACTGGATCGCAGATTCCCCCAAATCCTGACTCATTTCTCTGACAGTGAACATACTGACTGTCAGCATCCGTGTACTTGCACTAAAGCAGCACAGACAAAAAACCAGCATGTAGGAAGAAGGGAGAAACATTATTCATCAGGCGAAGCTTCACTCTTTGGTTTCAATATGCTCTTCTTGATTTGTTACTCGTAAAATTTACATACCACATTCAGGAGTTCTCTCCCAGACTCTTACACCCTGCTGTTCCCTCGCTCTGTCTTTCAGGTGGAACACAAATCCAGCTTTCCAAGTCAACATACAGTATAGCACAATGATTCTAATAAAGTGGTTGAAAACATCACTATTGTCAGAGAAGCATAACTGTGTTATGAATGGGGAACGTATTTAACTGCAAAAAAATATTAAAATGACTGGAGATTTTCCAAGGTCTAGCAGGCACACTACTCTTGAAATGCAAAGACAACTTATTGCCTTGAAAAATGAGCCAGTAATTTTAATTACTTTCGCTGAACATTTTCATTGCATAAATGATTCGCCTACAATTATAAGCCAATGACAACAGTCATTGAGTCCAGTTCAGTTGAGGTATTAAGCACAGCACACTCAACTTAAAATTCTTTAAAATATGACCCATTTTGCAGATTCAGGCACCATCCACCTTATTAAAGCACAAAAACTCTTCTTCAGGTCCTTCCCAGGGTTCACCTGGTAAAGATCATCATCTTCCATTGCAAAGCCTGAAAACTGCCCTGTGAACAAGAGACATTCTAAAGGAATGAGCAAAATGAAGCACAGAATGGAGATAATTGAAAATAAGCTCCAGACTTATGAAGCGGAATATTAAGTAAAAAATCTTGCAATGCTGTAACAAGGGCTTCTGCACAGGCTGAGTGTGCAAAGATCTCCAAGGAGGCTTCTTATTCCAATGAAAGGCAGCAAATCTGCACAGGATTTCTATGAAAGCCAACCCCGGGCTGCTCAGAACCCATTTAATGAAACAACTTTATCTCTGTGTGGTTAAAAGGTAGGAGGCATATCCAGCTATTCCCTTCCTGTGCTAAGGGCATGCATTGTTGAGGGGCAGGGATCCTGAGCACAGCCTGACAGCGAGGTGGCATGAAGGGCTGCTCACTTCTTTCCCTCCACATTAAGAGCTGGGAGCATTTTTTGAGCTGAAGGTTTTATGCTGTACCTTTCTAACACCTAACACCTTCCCAGCTTGCCACCCCCAATCTGTTCTCCATCCAGCAGGATGGAAAACTAGAATGACAAAAAGGATTTTAAAAGGGAGAAGGGAAAACGGGGGCAAAAGGCCCAAGACATTTCTGTAACAATGAAACACAGAGCTCACTTCTTCCCTGGGAATTAATTTTGCCAGTGTGGTTCCCACTTTCTTGCCTTGTGTTGGGAATGTATCAGCTAATTCCAAGGGTGTACCTGCTCTGCCTGCAAAGAGGGAGGGCACAGACCTGCTGTGAACCACTCTGGGTACAGACAAGCTGAGCTAACATTTGAGTTGTCGTGCCTATGATTATTTTCTGGGCGACTTGACATTTTACTCATCTTTCAGGTTCTAAAAACAAAATGTTAAAACTCATGAAAAATATATAGTAGCAGATGGCAGGGTGTATTACTGTGAGTTTCCATCAGAAAGACAGAAAGAGAAATGTAGGGGGACTAAAAGCCTGAAATTTCATTTTTACATGCTGTTTTATAAGCTGAAGGTAAACTGCTGGTATTTTCTGGATATTTCATAACTGTTTATGAACAGCACCTCTGGGTATCTGTATGAGACGTTACATAAATACACCAGTACTGAAAATTGTATTTTAAAACCATCTAGTCAAGTCTTCATATGTTTATAAATGATTATTTAGGACATGCCATATTTCTGCTGGTACTATAAGGAAAATAAAATGCTGGCTACATAATCCCTTTCATGTGCACAGCTCCAATGGAGTACTTTCTTTTGAACTTTTCCTAAGCTCACAGACTAAGTTTAGGAAATTCCTAGTGCCAGAAATCAAATGTAAATGTTCAATACATGATGAAAGATGCCTTTCTTCACTAACAGTAAAAATAAAAATCTCAGAAAAAGGCCCTGTTACAATTCAAGGGATAGACACAAGTTATCCCGACAGCAGAACAACAGACTTTCTCATCTCTCAAACAGAGGACAGAGGCATGGACTGTCAAAAGTTTTTCTTCAAATAAATCAGCTGAAAAGCCAAGGATAAAACTCCTATCTTCAAACCTGCTTCCCACTTCCACAGCCAGGAAGTCATCTTGCCTCCTGCCCCCAAATACCTCAATGTGATTTCACTTCAGAGTCTGCTGCAGAAAAGGTACAAGTGTCAGCCTGTCTTCAGTAAACAGCCAGTTATAATTTCTTCAGCATCAACACAAATATTCAGACTCAAATGCCTTGACTGATCAAAGGAATAAATCAAGAGTGCCTTGTTGAACTCTGGTTCACCAAAGAGGACGACGCCTTCTTTGTGCAGTCACGCCAACATATTTATGACTATTTTCCTGTTGAAAAGCTGCTAAAGAACTCAGGCACTTGAAAAGAGAAATAGTTCAACATGCTGGTAATTCTCCTTGCAATCACGTACATTTCAACTAAATTGGCAGGCAGACAGACAGAGCCTCACAGTGCTGCAGCATTAACATCTTACCCTTCACATCAGTACACGCTTTCATGTCAGCGACAAATGCAAGGGCGACTTCATCATTTTCCAGAAAGCCTCTCTCCTCCTCCTTTTTTGGGGAAACAGATCTCATCTCTCAATGCTTGCTTGCTTAACTGTTTTACTGTCTGAAAATACTATCAAAGGAGCCATTAAATTAGGAGTTATTTTGCTTTTCTAAAGTGTTGGCTCTTCAACAACGGCAAGGACCTTCTGAAAAGGAAGGACAAATTAACAGTGTAATGTGAAAGCACCTGAGATAAGCAGAGCAAGCCCCTCTAGGGGAGCTCTTATTCACAAGTAAGTTTTAATTTTTCCATATTGTATTTCTTCTGTAACTCCTGCAAGAGAGGGAAGAACCAGAAGTAAAGCCATTTTCTGAGTGGAGCTCTTGGTGTAGAGAGGTTTAATGAGCTGTAACTGATGCAATGTCCTTTTACTCTGCAATTCTTGGAACATCACTTTGCCTTTTCCTGCTCTGGGAGTGCTGCAGCAGAAGCTGCTGCTCAGGTACTGGCACACCACCTGCCTCCCTCAACCTTCCCCTCCTGCAGAACCTGGGGTGGTGGGAAGCAGCACAACGAGCAGCAACAGAAGATGGCCTCAGTGAAGGTCCAGCCCAAGTGTCTGGGAATCAGGATTTTACTGGACTGGTTTGCTTCTGAGGAAAAATTATTCCGTCATGATAAATTATGTATTTTGGATCATCATTAAAATGCAGTGACTAGTCTTTCTGGACTTTCAAGATTAGCAATTTGACACCCATTACCATAAACATTTAATCTATGCAGGAGAAAGAATAATTGCTTCGGGTATAGGGATGTACCTGAAAAAAACATTTTATCCATCCTTCAGACAAAAGGACAAGAGAGCTTCATTTGTCTTTGTGCACTCTTTTAGCAGAGCTGACAGTACAGAGAGGGCAAGAGATAAAACAAAGAAACCCTTTGGCTTTTTCTGCAGAGTGTTTTGCTGGCAGAGAAGAGGTAACCCAATTTTCCCTCTAAGTGTCAATAAAGTATCAGCCTGGAACCCAGTTATGTGCCCCCTGATTTTCTTACTGTCCAATAGAAGAAAAAAATTCAGGAGCCACAACTTCACCTTAGGGTCCAAACTTATGTCTCCAGTGGAGGTTCCTTAATATATAAAGAGCCACTTTGGAAAAAGTTGCTCAAATGATTTCAATAATTTTTTTTTCCTCAGGATACAGTTTTAAATGTCACCAAGTCTTCCTTTACAGTTGTTTTTTTTATCCCATACAATAACGATCTTGATGATAGTGCAATTATGTATTTTCAAGTAATTAGGCTCTTTCATCTAGGTAAATCATTTGTACAACCAAGAGATTTAAGAAATATTTCTAACTTCCTTCACCAACTTCTCACTTCTTGGAGGCTGAGGTACCAGCTAATGAGAACTGAGCTAATTACGGCAAGGTAACTTGAAGGTTATAAATACTTGGTGCCAACAGCATTTAATAAAGCACAGTAATTAGCATGCTGTTTTCAGGGTTCTGTCTGAACTTTGACTTTATTAGCTCTTAATTAAACTGTACTTAGATGAAAGAGGTTACTGTTACTAAACAGCTAAACGATCTCGTTATTTTGCAGTTAGCAGAAATAAAATCCTGCATTTCTTTTAATTAAAGGTCAAAAAAAATCCCAGGTTAGTTGAAACAGAACTAAAAAAACATCCTACTGCTACCTATTTTCGCCTGGATTCTGGTCAGATAGTTTTCAATAGAAACCTTGCTGGCTGCATTTTTACATAATACTTGAC